CTTACTTAACAAAATCTTAAAGAAATACGTTGTCAGACTATATTATATGTAAATCACAAAATATTTCCAAAAAGAAACATTTAAATTAGGTATTCGTAAATTGAATTCAGAGCGCATAAACACACAGTTAACTGCCTGACAGAAGCGGAACGAAATGACCATTATAAAGTATTAATCTCAAATTAAACCCAGTTAGTACTATTATTTATTCTGTGACACAGTTATGTTACCGTGTAGCGGCGGTGTAAGAATATCTAATACTCCATAATATAATCCCGTAAAACTGAAACACCAAATGAGCTCCACCATCTTCCAAATAATTGCTCAAAATATATTAATAACTAACTAATAACAAATTGCTTTTTTGAAAAATTTATCCAGACCAAAATATTCATTATTTTGCGAGTAGTTCATGCATGCAGCTTCGTTTCTGGATATTTTGAAAATTTGAAATTTTTAGGGGTTGACAACCTTTTTTTAACGTGACATGGTACTATTTTTACTTTGTGGGTTTTAAATCATGTTATGGAAAAATTGTCTAATAAGTAACAAATAATAGCACTCATTGCGATAGCTCACAAACTCAAGTTGTAAATAAATTTCTGGAAAACAAGTCTCCTGTTAAAAAAACAATGCGTTTGTCTTATTGTTTAATATTGCTTAAAATGGTTGAACTGCCGTCTTATTACTATTATATGGCCGAATAGACCTACGAAGTACCATGTGCTGTTGTGATATGGTATAAGGTTTATTTTTGCTTGAAACGATTTGAAAATCGTTCATGCATAAAAAAAGTTCGCTAATAAATAGTCTTTTGTCAATCCGCCGCCGTATAGCGCCGGCGTTTTTTTCCTTTTGAAAAAACCTGTTTTGCTATTCTTACTAATTAGACGTTTTCAGATAGACTTTACTTTTACATTTGTATAACATTAAATAATATTTAACATTTGTAAATATCAATGAATGATATAACCTTTTTTTTTTTCAAATTAAGGTTCTTCATTGTTTGATATTTACAAATGTTATTATTAGGTGAAAATTTAATTTAATAAAAACCAAGGTTTCCAGGGTGATTTAGCAGTACCTACTTATATAAATGATTTTTTTATAACAACAAAAAATAGTACAAAAGGTTTGTAATCTCGTCATAAAAAAGTAACTTTCTCTCAATTTCAAAGAAAACGCGTAAAAAAACACGTAGTTACCCACTAAAAACAAGTATCCTTCCATTTGTAAATGTTTCATGTCAAATAAATTTAATTAGGTCTAAACAAGTAAAAAAAGCATAAAAAAAGAACATTACTTTTACACATGGCGGATGGCACAATAGGCGTGTCTGTGGCGCTTGACACGCCCGGAGTGTCATGAAATATTTGTTCGCCGCCACAGCTAAAAGTTGTCGAAAATTGGTGCCGCAACGAATCGGTTATAGTAGCCTAAGTCTACTCCTTATAACATCAATTCCGTCAAAATCGGCCCAGCCATTTCGGAGATTAGCCGGAACAAACAGACAGACAGACAAAAATATAAAAAAAATGAGTTTTTGTTATATGTAGCGTATATACTTTCATATGCATTTAGTAAAAAGTTGTTATTTTGACATTACAAACAGACACTTCTATTTCACTTATTTGTATAGATAAAACTCCGATTGTCACCCCGCAACCAAGCGTGGCAACATGGCAAATATCCCCCCTATGAGGCAATCTATGGGGGAGGCCTATGTTCATCTGTGAAGTAATAGGCTGTAATGGATGGATGTATAGAAGACAATCTACCAGGAGCACATGACGCACTGAGAAGTGAAATTATTAAATCAACAGTAACATTACAACTATGGCAGATATCCCCCCTATGAGGCAATCTATGATAATATATATCCCCCTATAAGCAGTGGACTATTATATGCTGTGATGGATGGAGTCATTGTATATATAGGATAAGGGTGACAAACGAGCACACAGTCCACCTGATGGTAAGTGGTTGCTGTGGCCCATAGACATCTACATCTACATTTATCCTCGATTACGAATCAAACCGCAGATGCGTTGTCACCCGCGAGGACTAAAATGGAATACCTCGCAGTCTGTAGATGCTGGGTACTACTCGAGGGTAGATGTAATGTTTATAGGCCACAGCATCCACGTACCATCAGGTGGACTGTGTGCTTTGCTTGTCCCCCATGTCATTGCCACATAATGGTACAACCGTAAAAAGTAAGTTTTCAGTAAGTAGCGTCTCCGGTTCTCTACATTCATTACAAGGCGCAGGTTCGGCCTCACATGGAATACTGTTCCCATCTCTGGGCTGGGGCTCCCCAGTGCCAGCTTCTTCCACTTGACCGCATCCAGCGCAGAGCGGCTCGAATCGTCGACGACCGAGTCCTTTCTGATCGGCTCGACTCATTGGCACTGCGAAGAGATGTTGCATCTCTTAGCATTTTCTTTCGCATTTACCATGGGGAGTGCTCTGAGGAATTGTTCGGATTAATCCCAGCCGCCAAATTTCACGAACGCACATCGCGGCAGAACTCCCGATACCATCCACACCATCTGGATGATTGGCGGTCCACCACTGTGCGATTTAGAAGATGTTTTCTTCCTCGCACAACTTCCTTGTGGAATAGTTTACCACCAGCGATTTTTCCGGACCGATACGACTTAGGGACCTTCAAAAAAAGAGCCTACTCCTTTTTAAAAGGCCGGCAACGCATCTGCAATTCCCCTGGTGTTGCGGTTGTTCATGGGCGGCGGTAGTCACTTACCATCAGGTGAGCCGCATGCTCGTTTTCCCCCTCTCCTATAAAAAAAAAAAAAAAAAAAAAACTATGCGAAACACAGCAGTGTTTTGCTGCTATTCTGTGAGAGCGTGGTCCTTCCCCGGTCGAGCCGACCCATTAGTGCTACAACTATACCAGTAATGTAGATGCAGCATGACTCTACCACGTATATAATGTCTATAATATCTCACAGCTGGGCACAGATTTCTAATTTCTAAGAGAATTTTGGTATATTTAGTACGTCGTACTGCACCAATACGTGTTGGTTGAATTCACAGGTCTCTGATATATTTTATTCTCGGATATGCAGATTTCCTCAAGTTTTCCTTCACCGCCGAGCGTATGGTAAACAAGCACTTAAAATTACATTTATAATCCCACTGGTGCCGGCGGGGAGAGAACCCGAATCGCTAACCGGATATCAAGCTCCTGAAACACCATGGCTTTCATACCTTTGATACGACTTAGGGACCTTCAAGAAAGGAGCTTACTCCTTTATAAAATGTCGGCAACACATCTGCAATTCCCCTAGTGATGCAGTTGTTCACGGGCGGCGGTAGTCACTTACCATCAGGTGAACCGCATGCTCGTTTGTCCGCTCTCCTATTAAAAAAAAAACTTACCGCTATAGCCTATTAAGGTGTTAATTGTTGAACATAGTACTTCCTCTTATGCAGATATGTGTTACACAGTGGCAACTATGACAAATATATAAGACAAGCTTATATTTTTGCCATAGTTGCCACTTGCGAGCGGGTTGGCAACCGCATTTTTTTAATCTTAGATGTTACGACCACTACACGGTTTATACTATAGACTTAGAATATACTGGCGTATAGACCGACATAGTGTGCAAGGGAGAAGAAAATTCCTTATGGCAAAAATGCAAGATAGAAAAGGATACCAAATGTCATGACTCTGTAACCGATTTTGAATGACAGGTCGGCACAAGTCGGCACGCAAGAAATAAGCTCCTAGATATTTTGTAATTTTTTAGAGTGTAATAGTGGTTATTTTTAGTAAGTATTTTTTTTCCAAAATAGTTACTTGTTCTGTGAGTGCCTGTGGTGTTAATAATAGAAATAATAGAGAAGAGGAACTCGTGGTTAAGTAATAGTTGCGCGGATCAATAGATCTGCGAGATTAAGTTGCACTTGCCTCGGTCAGTCCATGAATGAGTGACCATTTTCTTAACATACCAAGATTGAGAGAATAGAGAGTGCATCTATATACTCAGACACTTGGTGCACTTTACTCAGTTAAGATCATTATGTTTTTAAAATTCATGCAGCTAAAATGATAATAAGTTTATTATTACTTTATACTTTTCAGGGACAGATGAAAGAATATAAACATGAAGCATGATGAAGCCTCATAAACATATTGGCCTTTAAACAGAGCAATCTTATTTGACTGATTCCTACAAGTTTACTTACTTAAATTATTAAGTTTACATTCATATTTAAGTCGAAAGTTAAAATAAACTTCTATAATGTAATTAATTACTAAAAGTAACAGTGGTAGAGCCACGCGGCAGCTTTTGCTTTTACCTCTGCGTTTCGCTTGGTGAGTGCAGGTGGCCGGAGGCCCTTTTTACTGGAAATGAGGCATTCCATCTTAGTCCTCACGGGTGACAACGCATCTGCATTTTGATTCGCAAACGAGGATAGATGTAGATGTCTATGGGCCACAGCAACCACTTACCATCAGGTGGAGTGTGTGCTCGTTTGTCACCCTTATCCTATAAAAAAAAATGTTTCTAATTATCAAAAGTAATAGTTATATGAAAAATAAAGCAGCCATTATGTACTCTGTGTCCCCGTTTTTTATTTAACCAGCAAAACATTTTATAAAATATAAATAGGTATATACTTAGTTAAGTATCTACCTATTTATATTAATTTTTCTACAGTTCATAACTCGAAAATACAACTTTCCGATATGATTCTTGGAAAGGTTTTTTAAGCTTCTTCGGTAGAGTCACCTGGAATTTTATACATTTGAATTAAAATCGGACATAATTTAAAATTAAAAATTTTGTACAACCTACTTCAATATAAATTATTAAGAATAACTAACATTTTAGCTAACGCAACAATAACAAATCAAAATTAGTCACGCGTTTTCGGGCTGTCAAGTCGTCTATACGCCAATATATTCTAAGTCTATGATTTATACTTAACAGAAAATATATAATTAAAATAAAACACAAACACAAAATAAATTATTTAACAATTGACGTTTATTTATAACTTAATAACTAATTTCACCTAACCTTCTATTACCACTACACAATAATGTCTTATGGCCATAGTGGCCACATACCAAATATTATATTTGCAAAATTTTATCACTGTTATAAGTTACTAACAAGTTTCATCGTTATCGTTTGACACTGTGGCCACTTTGGCCACTGTGGCCATAAGTTCAACTCGATTCAGCAGCTCAGATTTCTTTAGGGTTTACGTCCACTTTGGTTACATTGGCCTTGGTGGCCAGGGTGGCCAGAAGTTCAGCTCGAGTCTGCAGCACAGGCGCAGAGTATCCCACGCGTTTGCTTCGGTACAGTTCATACCAAGGCGGCTGCTCTGTGGTAGATCGCCCGCAAACTACAATTATGGGGTAACCCATTCTGGAATGAAATAAAAAAACATGTGTGCAGTTCACACGCAGTAGAAGTGAAAACTTCAGAAAACTAAACTTCGAGAGTAAGAGACGAATGCACAGTATCGGGACACAGTCTAACTACTATCAGTCAGTCATCGAAGGCGTCTAGTCGGGGCACAGATAGTTAATAGAGTAGCAGACCAAACATTCGCTAAAAATGAGGGCATCCACGACTTTTTCTGCCACCAGGGCGGCGCCACTAGAAAATGAGGTATAATATTTGACAGATTTCATAGCGGGGAAGTTAATTTGTACGGAAAATGTAAAAGTTATTGTTTTTTTCTGTACTATTAGCTATAGTTTATATTAATAACATTAAACCAAACCACAGATATTCATAAAAGTAGAAATATTAAAAAAAAGTTAAAAAAGTGCAAAAATTAAAGAGCAAACCACTGAGGCATTGTTTTGTGTATTAATATAATACTCTAGAAACTGATAAACTTTTATTAAAAAACAAATTCTCAATTTAATTACATTGTGTAACAAAAAACCTGTGTCAAATAGCGACATCTGGTGAGCAGAAAACTCTTATCCCTCATTGCGTAGTCATTACGCACACATAGGTAGTGTTGTCATTACAGGGGCGAACCAGGGCCGGTTGCTGGTATTATGTAACGATATTGAAACAACCGATATACTTGCTGAAGATCCGCTAAAATCGATATTCTCTTGGTATAAGAAGTGTAGATTACTTATCGATAAAGTCTTAACGAATAGAACAACCCATCTACTCCCATGGTTACTGTAAAAGGCGACTACAGGAGTATTTTAAGAGGACGATGGACAGCAGTCGACTATCCTCCTTTTGACGTTTTTTTCTTAATTGTGGCATATCGTAGTTGACCTTTGACCGTAGTTGATGAGGGTTGTGACTACTTAACCGGACTATCCTCTGGCTGCTTTCAGGTGAAAGCGCCAGGGTAGCCCACGAAATTTAATTTTCTAACGGCAATATCAAAGAAATTTAAAATCTAAGTGAGAATCCAAAAGTACACACCTCGAAAGCTCATATAATGTTTTCAATAATCACTTGAAGTTACAGTCTATATACGTCCCACTGCTGCCCGGCTAGCATGGGCGGGGGACAAAAATTTTATCACCCGATTATATCCACTGACAAGAGATAAAATTAACTTGTTATGTCAAACGGGGATATACATAACGAGTAGACATATATCCCCCGTCCGTAGCATGGAGGCAAATAAAAGATAAAAAAATATGCTTTTTTGACATTTGAAAGCGACAATTTTATCCTAGTTCATTGGACGTGGGTTGAAGTTTCATCATCATCATCATCATTACAGCCCTTCACAAGTCCACTGCTGAACATAGGCCTCCCCCAAAGAATGCCACAAAGCACGGTCCTGAGCCACCTGCATCCATCGACTTCCTGCATATCTTACACTTCGCCTGCCAGTACGAGGCTGCCACTCGAGAACCTTTCTTCCCCATCGGTTGTCGGTTCTTCGAGCTATATGGCCGGCCCATTGTCACTTCAGCTTACTAATCCGTTGAGCTATGTCGGTCACTCTGGTTCTACTGCGGATATCCTCATTTCTGAGTTTATCACGCAGAGAAACTCCGAGCATAGCCCTCTCCATAGCTCGCTGAGCGACCTTGAGCTTCCTCATCCGGCCAGCAGTGAAGGACCACGTCTCAGTTCCGTATGTCATCACTGGCAACACGCACTGGGTGTACAGTCTCGTTTTCAAGTTTTGAGGTATACCTGACGAGAAGATGTGCCGTAATTTCCCGAACGCTGTCCAACCGAGTTGAATCCGTCGATTGACCTCTCGGTCGAAGTTGGACTTACCTAGTCGGACTATTTGTCCCAGGTAAACATACTCGTCAACAACTTCGAGCTTAGTGTTCCCAACAACTACCGGCATAGGTGTGACATGGACATTAAACATGATCTTTGTTATGTCCATGTTCATCTTAAGACCTATCCGTTGGGAAACACTATTGAGGTCATTGAGCATAGTGCTAGGTCCTCCAGCGATTCTGCCATAAGGACTATATCGTCGGCAAATCGAAGGTGAGTGATGTACTCGCCATTGATGTTGATACCGTATCCTTTCCAGTCCAGAAGCTTGAAAACATCTTCCAATGCAGCGGTAAAGAGTTTCGGGGATATGACGTCACCCTGTCTTACACCTCTCTGCAATTGGATAGGTTTCGTACTCTGGTTCTGTACTCGGATAGCCATCGTAGCCCTACTGTACAAGCACTTCAACACTTCGATATACCGACAGTCAACTTGGCACCGCTGAAGGGACTGCAGCACCGCCCAAATTTCGACGGAATCAAAGACTTTCTCATAGTCCACATACGCCAGACATAGTGGCAAATTGTACTCCTCGGACTTCTGTATAATTTGCCGAAGGGTATGTATGTGGTCTTGTGGTCCGGCTTGTTCGTGAGGCTGGAAGTCGTCAAGTCTGCGCGCGAGACGATTCGTAATGACTCTCGAAAACAGCACGTAGACGCGGCTCAGAAGGGAAATCGGTCTGTAGTTCTTCAAGACAGCGTTGTCGCCTTTCTTGAAGAACAAGACCACCGCACTTCTGCTCCACGCCTCCGGTGTAGTGCCACCATGGAGGACGGAATTAAAGAGCTTCTGAAGGACTTCAAGTACCGGTTTTCCACCCGCTTTCAGAAGCTCCGCTGTAATTCCATCCTCGCCTGGGGCCTTGCCGTTTTTAAGGTGCTGGAGAGCCATTCTAATCTCGCTGAGACTGACGTCCGGGATATCATCGGAATAACGTCGGATAAGACTCGCTCTTGGATCGTCACTCACACTTGCGTGCGGCTCCAACGATGATATGTACAGCTGCCCATAGAACCTCTCAATCTCACTCAAAATCTCAGGTGCCCCGGAAACGATGCTGCCACATTCGGTCTTCAGTTTTGACAGTTGGCTCTTTCTGGCAGACAGATCTCTGGCAAAGATTTTGGAGCCTTGGTTCCGCTCGACCGCTTCTTCAATACGAGCTGTATTGAAGTTGCGTAAGTCCCGCCGCGTGCATTTGGAGATCTGTCTGTTCAGTTGCCTGTATGCTGTCAAATCTGTTGAAGAATGTAGCTTCATCTCCCGTCTAACAGCCATGAGATTAAGAGTGTGATCGGAGAGTTTTTGTGTTCTTCTGCGGCGGGTCTTGCAGAACTTAGCTCCGACCGCATGGACAGTTTCCACGAGCTTGTCATTCAAATCGTCCACTTCATTGCAGTCTTCTAGGCACTGAAAACGGTTTTGTAACTCGAGCTGAAAGGTTTCGGGACTTTGGATTAGAGCACGAGGGGGACGGAGCGTTGACTTCATTAGACGAGACCTCTCCAACTTAACGTTTAGGTTCAGTGTGCCTCTAACCATTCGGTGATCGCTCCCGGTTTTCACCCTCGCGATCACTGAGACATCACTGAACAGTTGTCGTCTGGTCGTCATAATGAAGTCAATCTCATTTTTTGTCGAACCGTCGGGGCTCGACCAGGTCCACTTCCTGTGGGGCCGCTTCTGGAAGAAAGAGTTCATCATCTTTCTCCATGAAGTCGGCCAGCTGATGGCCCCTTGGGTTCCGTTGCCCTATTCCGAATTTCCCCACTTTCAGCTCACCGTTCTCTCTTGTGCCTAGTTTTGCATTGAAGTCTCCCATTAACACCGTATATTGGGTTTTGGAGGAATGCATGGCTCTCGAGAGGTATCCTCATACATTTCCTCCACCTCCTGATCGGTGTGTGCCGAGGTTGGTGCGTAAGCCTGTATGACCTTCAGCGAATACCGTTTGGAAGAATACACTCTCAAACTTTACAACGTTGTTAACGAGAGATTTGTGAACGATAAATCCGACACCTCCTTGGGACAGATGGTCGACCTCCCGGTAATAGAGCAAGTTGCCGGATTCGAGGATTACCGTGTCCTGCCCCTCTCTTCGGACTTCGGATAATCCTATAATATGCCAGCGTAACTTGTCTATCTCTTCTTCCAGCTCCACAATCTTCTCGTCAGTCCTAAGGGTGCGTGCGTTGTATGTTGCCAGGTCGAGTCGTTGTAGGTGGCAACCGAAACTCCACCGGAGATTCTTAGCACCCCCTGCCCCGCCGTTACCATGGTCGCCACCGTAGCCAGGAATAGCGGGGCCGCCGGGGACTGGGGGCCGTCTCTTGAAGTTTATATTCATACAAAAAAATCTATCTAAGTCTAAGTCTATTAATCAAATAAATAATCCCAATTTATCTACTGTGGATATTATATCCACCGGTGTGCCCATGCTCTAAGGGTGGATAAAACTAAGCGAAGGGATAAACATTTTCTCCTTTCCCCCGGGATAAAATTGTCCCCCGCCCATGCTAGCCGGGCTGAGCACAGGACTCACATAACACATATTTCGTTTAAAGCTACAAAAAATTGTTTGTGTTTCATTAACACGAAATTTTCTTTGACTGCATGACACCGGTGATTCGTATTTTGTGACCGAAAAAAAAAATTGTCAAATAAGTAATAAAATAAAAAATAAATATCAATTAATGAACGGAACGGTTTACAATATTGAAATTCAAAAGCCTTCCTAAGGGTTAAAATACAAAGCTAATAAAAAAAAAATTAAGTGATAAGTTCAGTTTTTCGAAAGATATCTTGTTCACATCCACACCGACCAATTGAAGTCCAAGTGAAATTATTTTCAATTCACTTTTTTTAATAATAATCAAAATAAATAATCTTATAACTACGTCAGAGGTATAAATTATCTATAGAGGTAGAAATCTCCTCTTGCTATTGGTGTACTTTTTTTATTATATAAGTGCAATATAAAGCTGGTGGAAGTGATTTAAGTTGAGCGGATCGCGATTTTTGATTTGGTGACAATAGAGCACTACATCTGCGCTTTGCGTTCGATGTGTGCAAAATTGGAAATATCTATTAGTTGCACATAATCTATACATAAATAAAATTGAAGTGTCTGTTTGTAATGTCAAAATTACAGCTTTTTACTAAATGCATATGAAAGTATATACGGTACTTATAACAAAAATACAATTTTTAAAGTTTTTTTCTGTCTGTCTGTTTGTTTCGGCTAATCTCCGAAACGGCTGGACCGATTTTGACGGGATTTTCACTGGCAGATAGCTGATGTCACAAGAAGTAACTTAGGTTACTATTAGTTTAGGAAAATAATTAGGGTTCCGCGCAAAAAAATTAAAACCCCAGTCGCGGGGAACAGCCAGTGTGTAAATATGTTTTGATGTAATCCCATCATGGTAGATAAGTTAGGTTAAAACTCATAGATATTTAATACAACTTTAAAGAAGGCTTAAAAATAATACGATAGCTAAAAATACTAACATCCGCCTAAATACGACCGATATTAAAGTCGTACACTTTAAAAATTTTATCTGCCGTCTTCTTCCCGCAAAATGGAGAAATCGGCAATATTAACTTACATCGACGATAATCTTAATGACGTAATTTTTTGTGTATGCCACCTCTGTTTATTCAAATTGTGTGTATGCAATTTGAAAGTTTCCAAACTCCATTTCAACGAGTTTTCCAGTAAAAAATTATAGCGTTAAATAGGTTATTATTACTAAAAGATACGTTATATAAACTGCTTATATTGTATTCGACAGGACTATTTTTATAATTATTTTTTTGATAACTTTGCATGTTATAATCTATTTTAATTGTGTCTGAACACCAATTGTCTTATTAAGTTATTTAATTTGTTTAAACGTTGTTTTAAAAAAAAAACAGTTTTTAATTTTTTATTTCTTCTCGTGACAACCCTGGCAATTTTTATTGCTTATGTCGGCTTTTCCGATAACATCAAACGCGATGACCGACTGTATGTTCTTAGGCTGTGCTTCTTAGAAGTTGATCAGGAGTGCGATAAGTGTACGGTGGAAGTAATTAAAATATATATATATATATATAAATTTACAATAAACACTGTATACTGTATGTATTCAATTATATTTATACGTGGTAGAGTCATGCTGCAGCTATATTAATAGTATAGTTGTAGCACGAATGGGTCGGCTAGACCGGGGAAGGACCACGCTCTCACAGAATACCAGCGTACAATGGCAGCTTGACACTACTGTGTTTCGTATGGTGAGTGTAGAGAACCGGAGACCCTTTTTACTGGAAAAGAGGCATTCAATCTTAGTCCGCACGGCTGACGCATTTGCATTTTGATTCGCGAACGAGAACAGATGTAGATGTCTATAGGTCACAGCAGTTACTATCAGGTGGACTATGTGCTCATTTGTCACCCTATCCTATAAAAAAAAAAAAAAATCTGTAATCTATCTCATTCTCTCGTAGGCTAAATCCTATGAATGTATACCTTTGTCTCTTTTTAGTATCGCTCTTTCGTATCATTTAGTTTCAAATCATGCCCATTCTAAATAAGTTTTCATTTAAAAAAAAAAATATATAAAGACAATGCAGTTCTAAATTCTCAAGGTCTGGTTCGACAAAATTTAAAACTAGATTATTTAATCGCGCAAGAATTGATACTTCTTGAAATAGTATATGGTCGGAAAAAAAAATGTACGCATGGATTACTTAATTAAATTCTTAATGGAATGGATTTTTAGAATACTTTATATTAAACGAGATAGTTACGTTTAGTAGTAGTTAGGAAGACGCTGCTGCCCATCTACTGATTTATTTCCCTCAGTCGCCTCTTACGAAATGCACGGGATGATATGAGGTAGTGGATGTTCTTACACCGCCAATACACAGGCAACGGCAAAGATGGTTTGGCACAGACACATACAAACACAACTACCAATCAAATCCTCCAGTATACCTGTCAGCAGCCTTCATCCTTCTGCCAATGGTGTGGGTGTGTCGATCATCCAGTACTACCTCTGAATATAGACCGGCCTCGTTCTCCAACTCCTCACCCAAACCTTGCACCTCTTCCCAACCGTGGACTGCCCACTCCTTCGAACCCTCCTGTAAAATTATTATTTTTCAAATATTTACGTGGTAGAGTCACGCTGCAGCTATATTATGGTTGTAGCACGAATTGGTCGGCTCGGGAGGACCACGCTCTCACAGAACACCAGCGTGAAATAGCAGCTCAATGCTGCTGTGTTTCGTATGGTGAGTGTAGAGAACCGGAATCCCTTTTCACGAGGCATTCCATCTTAGTCCTCACGGGTGACAACGCATCTGAATTTTGATTCGTAATCGACGATAGATGTAGATGTCTCAGGGCCACAGCAACCACATATGACCAAGTGTACTGTGTGCTCGTTTGTCACTCTTATTGTATAATTAATAAACGACCATAATAATAAAAACTGTAGTAGCAAACCCGCCTGCCAAGCGTGGCAACTATGGCAAAATCCCCCTTTAAGACGATCTATGGGGGAGGCCCATATCAGCAGTGATCTTTTGATAAGCCATGATGATAAAAATAAAAACGTTACAGCCTGTATACGTACCACTGCTGTACACAGGCCTCTAATTTCTGAGACGCTTTTAGAGCGAGGAAATGTTCGCTGCACTGCCCCACTTCGTGTTGGCGTTCTTCATGTCTTCTAATAATTTTTTTTTTATTTCTCAGACATTTAGGTTTGTCACGATGTTTTCCTTCACCGCCGAGCACGTGGTAAATTAGGAGCTAAGCGCTCGCTGTGATTTTCACAGTACGCGAGCAATCTGGGTTCGACCCCACCGGAACCAATGAAAAAATCTCAATTAGCCTTCCGTCCCCATTGGGTGGCAATAACTACAATCTTCCTTACGTTTTTACAAATGTTTATAAGTTATTTGAATATAATGTAATCAGGGAACAAGCTTTACATTATTACATACAGAACAATCCTTGCATACAACTATGGCACTCTGAACGATTATGAAGTTTACATCAGCCGGGACCTTACAGATGGCCTAAGTTTTGAGCCTCAAGGTCGTAATTCAAACTGTGCCAGTGGCAATTAACTTCTTTAACAAACAATTTATCAAATCTGAGATTTATGGGTTTTCTAAGGAAACGAACACTTAGGTTTTCTCTTGTATTGTAGATATATTTTACACACATAAATTGCACATGGACAAGCATCCTCTTAGCCAATTCATCAGAGGACTTTTAACCTATAAAAAAACCGTGTAGTGACGGTATAAAAATATCATCCCGTGGTTGTCGTAAGAGGTAACGAGGAAAGCTGAAACAGAAGATGGCCAGCAGCATCTTCTTGATAACAAGCAAAATAATAAAAAACTGCCATAGTTGCCACGCTTAACTGCCTGTTAACCGTGGCAACTATGACAAAATCCCTCCTATGAGGCAATCTATGAGGAAGGCCTTTGTTTATGTGTAGAGTTTAGGCTAGGCTATAACGGCTACCTTAGGTCCTATTATGAGAACGCGGTAGGGGGCTATAGCCTCTGGCCATTTTAAGGCCTTATCATTGGCTAGGGCTTCCACACTTGCTGCAATCAATCTGGATATAAAACAAAAGTAGTACAAGATTTCACAATAATATTTGAAAAGTACAAGTAAATTAATGTACCGTGCAGTGGCGGTGTAAGAATATCCACTAGCCCATATAAAACATGCAAAAATTTAAAGCATATTTACAGTGTATATCTTTCTCTGAAATCTATAATACAGATAATCCAAACATAGCCTTCAATGCGTTTATAGATACTTTTACACTCCTTTATAATTTATGTTTTCCTTTTAAAAAAATTACTATTAGAACCAAAGAAAAATTGCAATGGCTAACACGTGGAATAAAAATTTGTAGCAAAAAAAAAAGAGAGCTGATGTGGAACTATAGGTTAAACCGAAATGAAATAAACAAAATAAAATTTAAAAAATATGCCAAGATTTATAAAAAAATTATTCAACTAACACAACGAGTTCAAAACAACCATAAAATAAAAACAGCGGTTAATAAATCTAAAGCTACTTGGGCAATAATAAATAGATCAAAAATGAATATGCCAAAGCATATGATCACATCCATAAAAGTATGTAATAAAACTTTAACTAGTCTACAGGAGATCACGAATGCCTTTAACAATTTTTTCATAGATAAAATAAAACCAATGTCAGGAACTGGAAAGCAAGTAACTTCAAATATTGTCAAATCAACTCAGTCAATGTTTATGGCACCGAGTATACCATATGATATACTTAAAATCATAAGATCACTAAGAAATACCACAAGTGTAGGACATGATGGGATCTCAACAAAAATTATAAAGTATGTGGCTTATTATATTTGTGATCATCTTAGCCACATTTTGAATATTTGTATAAGCACAGGAACTTATCCGGAAAGTTTAAAAATTTCAATTGTTAAGCCATTGTTTAAAAAAGATGACAAACAAAGTATGAACTGCTACAGACCCATTGCTCTTGTTCCTATACTATCAAAAGTTTTTGAAAAATATATATATTTAGAAATTTATAACTTTTTAGAAAAATTAAACATTCTTACAGAAGACCAAAAAGGATTCCGCAAAAATAAAACCATAAATATGGCCATTTTTGATTTTTTAAATAGAGTAATGATGAATGTTGACAAAAGGACACCGGTATGCGCGATCTACTACGACATGACTCAGGCCTTCGATTATGTTGACCATGACATCCTACTCAGTAAATTAGAAGCCTACGGCATCAGAGGAAACGTATTAAATCTCATGGAATCCTATACTAAAAATCGAACACATTATACCGAAATTTCTAGAATAAACATTAACACAAAAAAAGAAGAAACGTTCAAATCAAACAAACAAATACTTAAATATGGTGTCCCACAAGGGAGTGTGTTGGGCCCCTTGTTGTTTATCATCTACATAAATGATTTACCAAGAATAACAAAACATCCAATATCGCTCTTTGCCAATGACAGTACGGTCACAATAAGTTCTATCAATAAGGATACATTTGAAACTGACATAAATAATACAATCAATTTAATAATCAACTGGTTAAATAATAATAATTTAAAAATAAATCTCCAAAAAACAAAAATTATGTACTTCCGTCAACGCTTAGCATCACCAAATATTAACGTTAATTACCAAGGGACAGAAATCAATCAAGTAGACACAACAAAATTTCTAGGTGTAACTATTGATAAAAGTCTGAACTGGAAAGCGCACACAGAATAACTAAACAAGAAAATTAGTTCTTCTGCTTATGCGCTCTATAAGCTCGCATCCGTCGTAAATACCGATGCGCTACTCACGGCTTACCACGGTATTGTTGGTTCCATCTTGAGGTTTGGCATCATATTCTGGGGAAATTCTACTAATAAGGAAATTATATTCAAGTCCCAAAAAAGGTGCATCAGGGCTATGTTTGGTCTTAAAATTACTGATAGCTGTAGACCATATTTTATTAAGTACAAAATTTTAAGCTTGCCCTCCTTATTTATATATGAAATAGCAAACTTCGTTCACAGTAACCCTAAATTGTTTAACAAACTATCAGACGTTACAATTCGCAATCACCGGGATAATAACAGGTTATGCGTAATTAGATCAAGAACAGCATTGATGCATAAAAGTATTTTCTGTCTGGCGCCAATAATATATAATAAAATCCCCAAAACCATCAGACAATTGCCTACTACACTTTTTAAGCCACATCTTAAAAAATATCTGATAGCCAAATGTTATTACAGCTTGCCTGATTTCTTAAATGATTGTTTATTTAAAGCTAAATATTAAATTGTGACATTTCTCTCATGTAATCTTAGGAGATGCCATTGAAATTGTTGCACATCTAGAACTAGGTCCGCAGGGTTAGTTTTTATCTTGTATAATTAATAAAATACGAAGTTTTATTTTTGTACGCCATAAATGGCAAAACATGTAGCTCGTTTTAAGTTTTTTTTAACACCTTTATATTCTTATTTACTCATGTTTTACAAAATAAATATCTTTATCTTATCTTATCTTTATATCATCCCGGGGGTGCCGTAAGAGGCGACAGAGAGAAACAATACAGGAGATGGGCAGCAGCGTCTACCTAATTACGACTAAAAATAAAAAATGCGGTTGCCAGCGCGTGGCAAATTATGGAAATAATCCCCTCTATGAGGCAATCTACAAGGGAGGCCTATGTTCAGTAGTGGACTTTAATTTTAATACGCAGTAATGGATGGGTGTATAGAAGATAATGTACCAGGAGCACATGACCCACTGAGCGGTGAAATTATTAAATCAACAGTAACATTACAACTATGGCAAATATCCCCCCCTATGAGGCAATCTATGGGGGAGGCCTATGTTCAGCAGTGGACTTTAATAGGCTGTAACCGTAACAGTAATCACATATCAAATTTGAAGACCAAAACAAGTGTTAATTATTAATTATGTTTATCAGCTTTGTAGACATGTGATCAATCGTTTAACAATTCGGTCATTTATCCCGGGTCGCGCGTAAAAGATGGATGATTGCAATCACATTTTCGAACGATCTGGAACAAATGATTGACCGAAACTTTTTAACCTGTTAACCTGTGTAAAGTGAAAATACACGTAATTCTGTTAATGATTTTTTTTTAATTAGTGCCCAATTAAGTTTAGTTATAAGCTTATATAATGTTATATTGCGTTGCCAGTGCCCACCAATAGTTGTAAAGAAATGATCAAATAAATTAGTGATGGAACGATTTCGATTGAGATTAATCGATATCAACGATCATCTAACGATCATGTATGACTTTAATTTTTAAAGAAATTAAAGCCAATTGTTAATGTATAGCAGAAAAACATGTGTGCAGTTCATACGCGGTAGAAGTGAAACGTTCAAATGAAATGTAATATATAAAAATTAATTTGTGTTTGTTCGTATTTTATGCGCTGCCATACCGTTCATCAGATTACGGTAAAACTATGTCAACTTATTGCTTGCCTTTGCGCGAAGGTTATAGACATAGCACAATTAAATTACAGTAGATGGCGCGAGTTAAGGCTGAGCACCC